ACCCCCCCCCCCCACCACCCCCCCACACACCCACACCCATTCCTTTGCATCTAAAACACCTCACTCCTGAGCTTCTCTGCCCTCACTTCCCTTCATCTCCCAGGGTGATGTCATTTCAAACCTCTTCTCTCAGCATCCATCATCTGTCTCGCCCTCTTTTCACATTACAGGTTCTTCACCCCCAGCAAACACCATCTAGTATGACTAGACAGAGTGAGCTACAGTGGCAGAGTGAGCTCAGAGGCAAGTCTTTATTTGTAATTTGTGTAGGAGACAATCTTAGATTAATAACAGCTTGCCTTGTCGCTGTCATGTGCCGGCATCTACCTCCCAAGAAGACTGTTAAATGTCTTGTATTGTCATGTTTAAGAACCTTTTAATTGGCAGATCCTGATGGGGCTGCTAATGAGTGCTTTATTAAAGTCAGGGGAGCTGAAAGATTCGAGTGGTGTACATGTTACAATCAGGTAGATATGGGAGCATGACTGGTTAAACTAACGTAGAGCAAGTGCAATTTTCGCCAATTCTAAATTAATAAATGAGGATCGTACAGTACAACAAATGTCCAGTAAGTTTGCATTTTTATTGGTTTATTTTTAAGCATAATACACCCTGCTGGATAAAAAAAACAACTTTTGACTGGCAGTGCTCTTTAGAAACAATGTATTTCCTCCACATATTTTTATAGTAGGTGTGAAACGAACAAGTGAAAGAAATGGGCTTTGAGAAAGAACAAAGAACACGCACCTGGGTGCCAAAAGCCCAAGTATCTTCATGTTTCAGAAAGCAAAGTTTAAGACTCTTAATGACTCCTTTTAAGGCTGCCTGGAAAAACGAAGAGCTGGCAGAAACAGCATTTTTCTGTTTGAGGAAGCATAAGGAATGCATCCGAATCTAGAAACAGGCGGAAAATATTAAAACATTAAGTCCAAGTGTGCAGAGATGTTACATACTGTGTGGGGGGGGGGGGGTGGGGGTTCTTTTATTAGTCATTCTTCCTAAAGCTGCTCTGAGGCATCTGGTGATTAACCTCTAGATGTCCTCTATTAAATACATCCAGACAATAATTGGAACAAGGTGTACTTATACACCGTCGATGAACCGCCAGCAATCAGCCTTGAGAGGGGACATTTCAAACTGAAAATCCTAATTAGAAAATAATGGCCTGCGAGTCCTCAACAGGTCCTGTCAGGACCCTCTCAGGAGGGGTTTTCTCCCCTGCTCTCCTCAGTGTGGAGGGAGCACCTCTAAAATTGTTTCAGATATGACATTGTGACTCTGCTCGCTGCTGCTGTTCCACGTTGGTTGTTCACCATACTCGACATCTCCATCCATCCAGCCACCACTTTACTGAATCGATCTATATCTCCCTGCCTTCTATATAGGGATTATACACTCCCATAAACCCTCAGCTTTCTTTCATGACCTCGTTCGGCCTCCATGCTTCCAACTCTCCCGCCACACAGTGTGATAAGGCGGGCCTAATCCCTCTCTTCTCTCAATCCCTGCACTGATGAAAGAAAGGATATAAGCACATTACAAATCTCATTACTAGGTTTTCCGTATGCATCTGTGTGCACCTGTGTTGCATACCTCTTCAGCTGCTTCCAGCAGTGTAAGTGGGGGCAACGATAGCTCTCAACATAAGATATGCATATGTGCACAGGTGTTGGGTAAGCACAGAGAAACACACTCCATCATGTACAGATTATTCTGTCCCACTGCACATGGTTTTTAGATGTCAGGTTTGATTAGCTGTGCCTGATTATGACTCATATTATTCACATTATTACATGATTTCGTTTTAAATTCAGGTTTATTAGGCACGCCAGGGTTATGTGCTGAGGCAGAACAGAGTGCTGATAAACATGTCAGGTTGATACATTTTGTTGCTGTCAAAAGGAGCAGCTGCATAAATTCATGCCCAGTTTGCACCTCTAACAAAAATAATCCTGAGAGCATAGTGACCACAGAGACGGGCTGTGACATCAAGTAAAATACAGAGGCCATTTTTCCAGATATTATTCCTGCTTTTTAAACCATATTTACAGTAAAAGTAAAACTGAGCTATTATTTTAGAATGAGCATTATATTATATTGAGTATATCATTGTAGTTTATTATTATTATATATTTCATCTTCAGTCTTAGTCTAATCTTTACAAATTCATAAATGTGTAGGAACAAAAACACAACATGGAGCTCGACTCCAGAGAGTCAGCAAAGCTCATCAAGAGACCACTTTTGCCAAGACTTCAGGGGTGCTGGTGCAGAACAGGGTGAGAACCGGAGAGCTTCTGCCTTCACAGACAATGAGCTGCACCCTCTCACCACTGTACTCACAGCTCAGCAGCGCGTTCCCCAAACCCTTGTCCTTCCCGAGTGCTAAACGGAGGCATTTGGGAAGGCCTTCCAACCCACAGCTATCAGACTGTTCGACAGTCCATTCATCTTTCTGTGGGTGCTTTAACCAATGTGCCCTGTGGATCCACAAGTGTTTACAGATTTAACATCTGTGCCCACATGGAACTGAGTCCCCAAACTCTCTTCAGTGGTTGTGCCTTGCTAAATTAGTCCAAATGCAGTAATAATAATAGAGGAGTTATAGAGCGTGAAGTATGCATTGGCTGAATTACTTTTGATTGACATACCCATGGTGACAGGAGGAACAACAGGATCTGTGGAGGAGGGCTTAGCCTTGACTGGGATGGGTGTGGTTGGTCCATTCACCATCACATGACCTTCATACGGGTATAAAAACAGATAATGCAATTCAGATGCAGCCCTGTAACAGCAGGGTTTTACAACAGCAGCTGTGAGACGATTAAAGATTATGGTCACATGCTTATGGAGCCCGCTTTTTCTTATTTGTGTCATTGTACATTTGTGAGTTAAAAGTGTCCAAAACCTTTTTTCTTTTTTTTTTTTTTTTTAGATGTACAGTGTTGCTGTGCTTTCTCTGCTTTCATGTAAAACAAAAATGACCCAAAGTGTACCCTGGTTATACTGTACATCCACAAAAATTTTAACTGCAGCGTACCATGCACATCTATGTGTATGTGCAGGCTGGTCCTCACAACCTTTAAGTATCTAATACACACATACACTGTATATACATACATAGAGCAGTGATACAAAACCATACGCAAACCAAGCGCTGTTTTCATTCATTTTCTACTATAAATTTTGCTGTTGGATCCATTATATGCTTGACAAATCCCTACACTGAAATCACCGTGGCCAGCTCAACTGTTACATACAGTAAGTTACTTCCTTGTTAAAAGCTAAGTGGAAGACTGTGAAAGCCACAGAAACAATCATGAAATGAGAGCTCTGTTAGACAGGTGGATGCCAAGCTATTAACCTTACAATCACTGCTGTATCGGCCTAGTTTAACAGTTTGGAGCAGCAACAGGCTGAACTTACTGAATATACAGTGCTCAGACACACTGCTGTAATCTCCGTGTCTGATCAGTGATAAGGCTAATTAGCTTTCAATATATTAATTACATTGTGACAAAAAAAATCAAATCCTGGAGTCACTCTTGAGCGTTTGTGTGTACGTACCCAAGTAATGCAGCAGTTTCTGGGCTCGGTTCTGAGTGGGCTTGAGGATGAAGAGTTCCTGGTTCTCATCAATGAACTGTGTGTCCACAGTGGAGTGGAGGAACTGGTGATTGGACAGGACATTCTGGAGGAACGGGATGTTGGTCTAAAGACGAAGACAGATGGACAAACAGTGGAGGAGATTTTTATTTTGTGAACCTCTTTAATGGGAATTTTGCACAGACACCTTTCACTCAAAATGATGTAAACAAAAACCAAAATGCAGCAAGAGAAGAAGAAATCATCTTCAAGAGCTCAGTATTAAACAGACGCTTGTACAAGTGTACACAAAACACACCGTCAAATAGGTAAACAAACAGTGGCACCACACAAACATTCAATAAGTGAGTATGTTAAACACGGCACAATCTGAGCTCCAGTACACACACGAAGCAGAGGAAGAAAGTCAACTGTTAAAAGTAATTATCGTCCATTTGTATTTTGTTGTTTGCCTCAAAAATATTATGATGCCAATTAGGCTTTCTAAATTAACAAAGACAGGGGAAGTGAATGAGGGAAGAGAGATGAAACAGATGTAACTGTTAGTGTTAATGTCACTACATGATTTGTTGCTGACCCCCCATTCTTGTAAACCGGTCTTAAAGTCTGCACACTGTTTTGACATGAACTGAAATAAAAAAGGGGGCTGAGTGACAGGATGTTAATATATTCTTGACATAGCTTCAGATAGGTTTACCACTGTTTACTGTCCCTAAGTGAGGGTAAAAAGGGAAAGAATGGAAACTGGAGAAAAAGATTATTCCTCCAAAATTGTCAAAACCTTAAGTGGCATTTAACAAGAGGAAAACCATGCCAGACTCAGCATGGAAGCATCTATTTTATTTAAAATCCACACAACCAGAGCTCACAACCAAGACAGAAACAGAGTCTCAGAGGAATCCTGGGCAGTGGGTATAAAGCTCCCTCTAAGCCCAAACATGTAACAACTGCCCCATTATCTATCTACACTAGATAGCCCATAGACAGATCTCTGTTAAGACACACACACACATCGGTGTGAGTTTAACACACTTTAAATATATGCTCACTAAACATAAGCCACAGCTGGATACGATTTGGGTGTTTAGCTGGCAGTCAAACCTAGAGTGACTTGAAATAAATGCTGAATCCCAGTCACTCAGGAAAAGGAGTCAGGTAATAAGCCACACAAACACACCCTTATTAGGGGCATAAGGAAGAACATTGTTGACAAAGAACAATCCAAATCCATAGGGAAGGGAGTTATGGCAGAAGAAAGCCGTTTGGCTTTTGCAGTGCATGCAAACAATAAAGGACCAATGATATTGAGAAATTGAAAGTAAGACAAAGCCGAGGCCATTGTTGCAGACATTCACATCTGCTCGAGGGAAGAGAGGATTCTGTTTTCTGAAATGCACACACCCAAAAAATGGCACTATGTTCTCAGCCCTCTGCTACAGGGAGGAGAGCTGGGGAGGGGAAACAGAGGAGAGTCGAGGGATCCACACGCTGCACTGCCAAGCCTTGGGCTACAAGCTGTGGACCAGAACAAAATGCGAGTTCTGCCAAATGCTTGAACTGCTCGAAGAGTTCAGAAACCTGGGAGCGTCATCTTCGCTTCGATTTACAGAATTTATCAACATATTAAAATATATGGTTCTGCCTCACATACCTGTCTTGGAGGATAATAAGAAGCCACATGAATTCAGGACATGTTTATTGGATCACAATCTCAGCTTTGACTTAAGGACAGTCAAATGCAGACTTGGCAATGCTGAATAAATTTGGTTAAAAACATTTAATACCACAAACGCACTGCTGGGTAAAGAATGTACTACATTATCAAGCTGCTGCCCTAAAGCTCTTCTGTTAACCTGTACAAATGATGCATAAAATAATGGCAGGGAAATTCTGCTACCTTTGGGTAGACTGCTGTTTCCTTGTTTCCAGGGTGTATGCTATAAAACCAACCACTGGCAGTGCCATATTATTTAACACACAGACACGAGTAGTACTTTAATGCTTGCAAAGAAAGCAAATGAGCGCATTTCTCAAACATGCTGAACTATTCTGTTAATCCACAGTACCACCTGAGTTAAAAGTATTTCATACTTTGCACTATACCTCAGAAAGCACCACAAGGGCAAGAGAGCCCACCCAGCTTCTGGCACATTTAACTGTGGATTAATAACTGGTTGATGTGTTCTTCATCGATTATTTATGTATGTACACAACCTTATAAATGAGACTCAAAATGTAAAAGTGAAAATGTGGGGAGACCGAGACATAGAACCACAGTCAAAGAACACGAGCAGGCACTATTAATGAACTCAGAAATAATGGAGAGGGAAGATAGACACCATTAATACATGGAGGTTTGTCCTTTTCCTCTCTGCTGTACCAGATCAATGTGTTCATTATCAGGCTGTTCTGTATGCTGGTGGCGACCGTGCACACCAACACATACACACTTAGTCCCTCATTCCCTTTCCATGCTCCCCTAATGATTGTGCAACACACACTTTTAAAACGCCCCCACCCCTCCACACAAAGCTCAGTAGCTCTACTTTTTTCCTCAGCCTTCATTCTGCTCTCAGTGATATCACACACACAAACACTCAACAGAGGCCCTTCCCTGATTTGGATGCCCTGTAACAACTGCTCAGCTACAGCTCTCAGAGGTATGCGCACGGCATGCAAAACACACACGGGCACACGCCTTTATGCCAGTGATGATTGTGGCTCCTGCTCCCAAATGCTTTTCAGATTGCCAATATGAGCGCACACATGGGCCTATGCCTAATGAATTAGTTCTAGTGGCAAAGTAAACCTGTCGAAATGTGAATGAATGCTCATACATGTTCCAGCTCTCTGACAGTCAACAGTTTAACTCGCACAAGGCGCGTTATCAGAAGCCCCATTTTGGTGCAAACTAAATCACACGTCCCTCCAAAGCAAAAAAAACAAACAAACAAACAAAAAAAAAGACATCTGGTTGTGTGTCTCCTCAGTTCTTTATCCTACAGAGCTCAGTTTATCTCTGCTTTATTGCTACTTGGCTCACAGCCGGTCGTTTTTGCTGTTGCTGCAATCAGCATTATGGGTGATTGCCAAAGCAACATAGTGAGCTAAGTATTGATGTCCCAGGCTGTTGGCTTGACTGCAAAGACATGTCAGCTCAACAGAGCACCACCTTAAAACACTGCGGGTGTAGGGCATCGGCTGCTTTTAGGAAGCTAACTGTATTTTATTTCGCTTTAAGTTGAAGAAAGAAACTCAGCAAATAAGTACTCATTAGCAATGTGCTGAAATGCTAACATTACTTGTCTTCAGAAGTAGAAGTGCCACAGTTGTCATTCAGCGTCCAAATGTTGTTAATGTAGAAAGAATTTACAGCTGACAGTAAAACACATTCTGGATATCTTGAGGGAGAACAACACGCATCGCCTCTTTTATGTGTTCTTGTTTTCCACAAACTGTCGGCACTGTCATTTTTCACTATGCAAATCAGGCAAGTAGGTGAGGTGACAGCAAGAAAGAAAAGAAAAATCTAACAGGTGTTACTGTCCAGACTGCTCCAATTTTTCAGTGTCATAAAATATTTTACAACTCTAAAGCAGCAAAGAAGTGAAAGACCAACTCATGCCTGGAGCTGCAAACACAAAGAGGAACTGCATACACTCAGCTGCCAGTTGACTGCAATATGACAGACGTTACACAAATCAAATTCTGACTGGAATGCATAAACCTACCATTAGCATCTCATCATATTTTACAGAATTACTTCCACTATTTTTGCCTTGAAGAAGCTGATTTAAAAGCCACCATAGTTACAACTGAAATCAGTTAAGCTTCTGCCAGTATTCTGGATTCTAACACTTTGTTGTTCATTCGTCTTTACTCATGCAACCGTTAATGTGACGACGACAACATGAGATGGATGAGAAAAGCACAGAGGCTGACACCAACTTACATTTGTCCCAACCAGAAGGAAAGAGAACACTGGGCCAACTGATCTTGACCAAGGAGACATAAGCAACGTAAGTACTGAGTTGACCACCGTGTTGAAGATTATTGTGAAATCTAACAAATGATTTTCTTAATCTAAAATGTGATAACAGTCAGAACTAGGATTGCCTTCAGGGTGAGCAAGATCAACAAACAAACAAAAAAAGCAACTGGAAAGGCAACAACAACAAGTAACTACTACCCTACAGACCCTGAACAGATAACTGTACATCAGCTTGGCAGAGTAGAGAGGTTACAGATGGCAATACAAACACTTGGCTCTGGAACAAGATTGGCTGCTTAGAAGGAAGAGATACTGTACGTGTCGCCCTGCAGATCTCAGCTCCTTAAAGTGGTCGCTGACATTGTCTCTTTGTTCGATCCCACATCGACGGAACCACAGATTATAGAAGGAATAGAAGAAATGCAGGAAGATGTGCACTATCATATAGCTATGGACGGTAGTCCTGTTGAACCGAAACCAGAAACTTAATATGGCACTGCTCCTGCATTCCGTCCACTGGCTCTCTGTACTGGTTTGCATAGTTAGATCATTCTGACACTGACTATAAGGCCAAGGATGTGTCTGGTGAAATTTTGTGCTGAGGCCTGGTGTCTCCGATCTACAGCACACCCGGATCCACACACACCCAAAAGGTTCCTTTGTAAATAAGGCCGAGATCGGGTCTGTAGCATGTTTTACATCTTCAAATGCAGTATGCCGACCCACTGCTTCAAAATGCATCTAGACAAACAACATTAAAAACAGTACATCATTCTGCTTAGCATTTCATTGTGATCGCCGATACATACACTCTGTCTCACACACACACACACACACACACAGTGCATTATACTGGCCTAGGAAAAACTGACTGTCCTGTCACTTGCATTTTGTTAATTTCTAGAGAACAGCAGTGGAGTTGTTTGATGCAAAACAGGATACAAAGATTTTGACAAATTTCAGATCATGCTCAGCATTACACGCACACCGATCTCCGTCTGCCCCCCAACACAAACACCGCCTCCCTCTGTCACACACAGCCTCCACGCTCCCTCAGTGATTAGGAGTTGAATAGGGGGACTGTCAGGTCATTCATCTTCTCTCGTCTCCTCTTC